AGAAATCACAGGTTCAACAATCATAGTAGGTGACTTTAATATACTGCTCTCTGAAAAAGGTAGATCACAGAGAGAAAGCTTAACAAGGAAGCTACAGAAATATACAATTAGGCAATTTGACCTGATAGATATTTTCAGAACTCTCCACCCATATGCAAAAATGAAATCACATTATTTTCTAGCCCACATGGCACATAATCCAAGATAGATCACATGTTGGGACACAAGTAGAGCCTATGTAAATTCAATCACATAATGGTCATTCAGACTTCCCTATCAAACCACTACACCATACGACTGGAAATCAACAAAAGGAGGATTAAGAACACAAAGGCAAACAACGAGGATGAATCACCCTCTGCTGCAAATTGTGTGGGCATTGACCCAGATCAGAGACAAAAATCAGGAAGTTTTTAGAAACCAATGAGAATGAGAACACAACATACAAAAACCTTTGGGGCAGAGCAAAAGCAGTTATCAGAGGAAATTTGATAGCGATAAATGCAGATATGAAAAGGGAAGAGAGATTTATGATTGATATGCTGGCACAAAACCTCCAATTAGAGTGGAGTCAACAGGACAATCATATTAATAGCAAAAGAAAGAAATAATAAAAACTATCACAGAAATAAATGAACGGGAAAACAAGAATACTCTACTAAAAAATCAATGCAGCAAGAAAGCTGGTTTTTTTTTTTAAAGGTTTAACAGAATCAATACACTGATGGCAAACCTAACCATAGAAAAGAAGGAACAAATATCAATAGTCAGGATGAGGGATGAAACGGGAAATTACAATGGGCCCTAATGGAATTAAAAGGCTAATTACACAGTACTATGGAGGTCTGTACTCCAATGAATTGAACAACGTGGAAGACATGGACAAATACTTGGGGAAAAAAATCCATCTCTAGACTATCCCAGATGGATGTCATGAACCTCAATAGACCCATAGCAATAGAAGAAATAGAAAGGGTTATCAAGGAAATACCAACTTAAAAATCCCCCAGGACAGACAGCTTCACAGGAGAATTTTACCAAGCATTCAAGGAAGAACTGACACCAATCCTACACAAACTCTTCCAAAGCATAGAAAAAGATGGCAAACGCCCAGACCCTTTCCATGAAGCTAGGATAACACGGATACCTAAAGTGGACAAGGATCCCACGAGAATTGAGAACTACAGACAGATATCTCTAATGAACATTGATGCAAAAGTCCTTAACAAAATACAGGCCAATAGAATACAAAAGTTTATGAAACAAATAATTTACCATGACCAAGCAGGATTCACTCCAGGACTACAGTGATGGTTGAACACCTGAAAGTCCATCAGCATTATTCATCATATTGATAAGAAAAAGGAGAAAACCCACATGATAATAGATGTAGAAAAAGCATTCGGACACATCCAAAACCCATTCCTGTTTAATACACTCAGGAAGACAGGCATGGAAGGTAAATTCCTCAATATAGTACAAGGTATATTTGAAAAGCCAACAGCCAATGTGTTCATCAACAGAGAAAAAAACTAAAACAATCCCTCTGAAAAGGGGGACCAGACAAACATGCCCCTTGTCCCCACTCTTTAACATCATACTGGAGGTCCTAGCTAACAACATAAGGCAAAGAAAAGACATCAAAGGTATTTGTCTAGGGGAAGAAGAGGTGAAATCATCATTATTCTCAGATAATATGATTTTATATTTGGGAAACCCCAAAAGCTCCACAAGAGGAGTACTGGAAGTGATAAAGGAGTATGGCAGAGTGACAGGATACAAGATCAACAAACAGAAGTTTATTGAACTGCTATATACATTGGACAAGTCCACAAAAGAGGAGATCAAAAAGGTAGTACCCTTTAAAATAGCCAAGCACAAATTGAAATATCTAGGGATATACTTAACCAAAACCCCAAGAGATTTGTACAAGGAGAACTACAGAACACTACTACAAAAAACCCAGAGTTACCTGCATAATTGGAAGGATATCCCATACTCATGTAATGAAAGACTATATAGTAAAGATGTCAGGCCTGCCCAAGGCAATATACAAGTTTAACGCTAACCTGGTACAAATACCAACATCCTTCTTCAAAGAATT